TGTTACTTTTCTTTTTTTAGCCATCCTATTTGTTAAAAAAAAAAAAAAAAAATCCGTATGCCTTTTTATAACTGTCTATTGTTGTCACTGTTGTCCATTGTTGTCATTCTTTGTTGAAATCAGGTCTCTCTTGTAAATGAGTCCTCGAGGCTCAATGGGATTTACCTGTCTAAATAAAGGTTGAATGAATGAATGAATCAGTCCAGAGGACCAGACTTAACTTTTTTAGATTTTTCTACCTGGATTATTGAGCATGCATCAGAAATATAAGCTAATATACTTTGCTGACTCTGCCATATGCATGGAAAGTATGGAGTTTTGTGAAAATATCACTCACCTGCATTTGAACCATCAGACACTAGCCATTATTTTCATGACACTATTTTCCAGCTGCTGTTGGACCAAACAGAACTTGTTCTAAAGAGAACGACTCCAAAGACAAAGACACACCTTGTCAGGCACAAAGCCACACAGGGTGTGGGATGTTCTTTTTCTTTTATTTCATTGTTTTGGATTAAGTTTAAAAGAAAACTCATTCAGAAGATATGAAAGAAAAACAAAGTGAGATACCAAACTGAATTGCACCCCTTCTCTCTCGCTCACACAAGCGATTAGTAATTTGTCACAAGCAGCATATTAAGCCAAATTTCTCATTTAAATTTGATTTTATTTATTTGACCCATAAGGAATTAGTCTTAAAAGCACATGTAAATACTTGTTTTTTGGTTGAATATGGTGTCGTTTTATAAAAGACAGTTTTGAAAAAGTTTTATGGTAAATAGACACCTCTTACCAACGTTCTCTGATTTTGTGCTTGTTGTGAGAAGTTGCAAACCTCTAGCAAGAATATAAAGCAGAGGAATGAGCTCAATCATGTTTCATTTCACTTTTAATTCTTAAAGTTTAAGTGAGGCCTGAAAAACAAAAAGCACTTGAAGATTTTTGACAAAGCAAAATACTAAACAGAAATGCATCAAAATGTCTATTTTGATCAAGTAATTGTTCTTGCTCCTTCCCAAAGACCAGCAAAACACTGTTAATTATGTGCAGTAATTACATAGCACTTTCTTTGTTTATGTTTCCATTTTATACTGTTTTATTGAATAAAACATCAAGCTAACGCTTGAATTTAAATCTTACTTTGGTTATTGTACAGCTGACCACAAATAAAATCAGTTTGCATTTCCAATTACATCTATCTGGTGACAATGATGAATTCAGATAAAACTAATCTTTGTTGGAAGGACAGTCTCACAAACCACCACTCATTTTTTATTTGAACAACATTTAAAACAAAAAAAATAGTTGTATGAAAGTATGATGTTAATTTATCAAATACATCTGGTAAGGTGTGTGCTTTTTTTATAGCTGATATTAAGACATAAGGTAGCACGTTTGGAAATTCATTGTCTTCTGAATCAGTAAACTTTGCTACCTTTAGGGGGCGCTGTAGATTTTCTCCTCTGCTAAACACAACGTCAACCGCCATCTTTTTTATGGGTCAGGAATGACGTAGTTGTTTTCCTTTCCTCTGATTGGTGGGTTCGTGTCGGTCAAAGGTCATGAATATTTGGCGCTTTTAGTTCACTGTCGGTCTGGCGCGTTTTCCGAAAGGGAAACAAACATGTCAAAGAAATATATTTCGACGCGGAGCGGCTCCTAAAAATATCTCAGTAAGGTTTCTTCGTGTTTTGTTTAAGTATCTGTATGATTAGGAAAATATTCGGAGCCTCCGTGAATCTATATTAGCTTGTTGTTTCACAGTGAAACGTATTTAGCTGCTTGTTTTCATTAAACGCAAGTCTTATGTTTATGAAAATAAGCAGCTGTCCGAGTCAAACTGAACTTTATCGCTGTTTTTACACAGTTAGGGGTGAATAAAAACCTATAGCACTACAGTCTGAAGTAACTACTGTCGGTGAGTGTTTTTACTTGTTCCCTGTTAGCCATTTAGCACAAAACTAAGTTTTTAAGCTCATGTTTTAGCTTAATCTGTTTACAGGCCTTAGTTATCCTAGACTAATGTAAATACATTCATCTGTATTATATGAGTGTATTTACAGTAGTCTACGATAGTTGAGGCCTATTATTATTATAGTTCTTTTATGACGTAAAGTTTTATTTTCACTGCTGTCTGACAGTTCCGTGCAATGTTGTTTACTCAGTATTAATAAAACATCCTCAAAATGCTGTAAACATTGACTCAACACATGACTTATTGAAAAATTCAAAATATTTAACGGAAAATGAAATGACAGAAATGTATAGCTATCCTTATGGCTCAGCTGGGGGTTATTTATTTTAATATTAATTAATTTGTACATGAGAACAGTACAGATGTAGATGAAATTCATTTAACAGATTTCTGTAGACCCCTGGTAGTCAATGAAAGGCATCTCATGAAAATATGGAAATAGTTTTGGTCTCTGCAGTGATTTAATGTTCATTTGGGTCTGGTTGAAAAAACAAATATTTTCTCCTTCAGGTTTCTTGAGTTATGGCTGGTGTTGTGGCTATGGCTTCTGTCATTGAGGACTTTGACACCCAGGTAAAAACTATAATCCTTATAAAAATCAGCATCATCTAATCTATTAGACCTGTGCAGCAAAAATATGTTGATTATTTAGAGAAGTTATGAAAAAAAAAAGAAAGAAAGATAATTTTCCTCTTTATTTATCATTTGAATACATTTTTATACTTTTTTGAAGGAATGCATAATGTCAATCACCTTTCATGCCAGTTTTGAACATTGTTCTTACGCTATGTGTTAGTGCTCAGAGTATGTTTTGTGGATGATTCTCAGCTACTACCACACCAGATTTTAGCTCAATATCTGCAAAGTTGACTGAATTCTAGCAAATGTTGTATTTACCATGGTTTATTAGCTGAGGCGGCCATCCAGAATTTGTCCATTTCAAAAGATAATCAGTTGTATAAGTACATCGAAGGATTATTTACATTTAAGGAGTTTCATTAAAGTCTCTACTGATTCATAAAACAGAAATGCTCAAACAAATAAACCCAAAGACACAGACAATTTCATGATCAGTCACATTTCATGGTAGCAGGTGATAATTAGAGTAATTGATTTACACCTTCACCCCAAAGTTTTACTTCAGATCTTATACGTTATTTCTTCTTTATGTCATCCGAAGAAGCTATATTCACTTTGCTCACAGCAGAAATTATTTTTACACGCAACTCGGTCAATACTATTATGAGCATCCACATGAAACTATAATTTATAAAATGCATTTATAAATTACATGAATATAAGTTTCCCCTTGTATCAAAATTCTTGAGTTTGATTAACCTTTGTCTTTTGACAGCCTTGCAAGAAATCTCGCAAAGATGGGAGCAGTTCCGTTGTCAAAACGATCACAAACTATTTCTCTCCTGTGCCGAAACCCGTGGAGAAACCTTTTTCTCCTCCTCGCTCCAACAACATCATGGACTACTTCAGCAGAAAGGCTCCACCTTCTAAAGAAAAGACAAGTCCACCACAGCAACCTAAAGAAAACGACCAAAAGTCTCAGTCTGCAGAAAAACAAACCAGGTCAGAAATGAGGAAACAGACCTCCGAGAAACGAAAAAAATCTTGCAAAGCTGCTAAAAAACTTGTTGCTGAAATTGTTAATTTGACTGATGAGGCGAGCTGCATGATTGTAGAAGGAACGGATGATAACTCTGCGGTAGAAGCCGTTAGCTCGACACTTGGCAGAGATACAGCAGTTCAGTTATCAAAGCTTAGCGCTGTGGCTTATGAATCGGATATATCAGACCTCGCTGATGCTAAATCTGTTAGTGAAGAGCAGAATGAAGAAGATTCACCTCCAGACTGTGGCTCTAAATGTGAAAATAATGTCAAACAGGAGACGGAGCCAAACACTACTGAGTTATCCACAACTGTTCCTTCAAGAGTTAAAATAAAACAAGTTAAAACTGCTGCACGAAACGCTAGAAAGAGACAACAAAAGGAGACAAAGTCCCCTCAAACAGAGAAAAAAGAAGCAGAGGGGTCGCTGTGTGATGATAGCATGGAGGTCAACATGGATGAGGCCTCTCAGTTGAACATCAGCACTGTGACCATTTCTTTTGAGGATTTTGTGCGGAGTCAAAACAAGGTGGAAGAGGGTCTAAAAGATGACAAGGCCAAAGACTGTGATGGTGAAAGCTCAACAGAAGTAGAAGAATCAAAGCATTTAGACGTCACTAAATGTAAAGGTGGTGTGAGTCCAGTGGTGCCATCTGCTCAGATCTCGCCTCGAACCGTCACCATCCAGGCTGAGGTGCATGAAGTCTCGCCCAAACAGGAAGCAGCTAAGGCTGTGGGGAAGGTGGCTTCGATTTTTAAAAAGAAAAACGCCTCTAATAGCCCTGCGGAGATCGTCTCATCTCCTCACATTAAGGAACACCACAGTCCAACGCTTTCTTCGACCACAAAACAAAAATCAAATGTGGTTCTTCAAGAGGAGGATCTGGAGTTGGCTGTGATTGAGAGTGAATCCACTCCGAAGTGCAGCGAAGCAGAGAGGAAGCAGTTCATGGCTGCCTTCAAACAGCCCAGCCTGGACGGAGCCAAAACCAAACCTGTGAAAAGCCAAGGCAAACCGAAGCCGGCTGAAGAGGAGGCTGCAGACAACACGACAGAAGAGGAGTTTGTAACCGTTCCTTCTGATGACGACCAAGGCTCTCAGAACAACAAGGCAGCTAAGAGGAAACCTACGAAAAGAGGGAGGAGCAAAGCTAAAAATGTAAAAGAGGCAGCATCACCTGCTGGCTCAGCTGCCGAAGAAACTCCAGTTATAATCATTGAAGCTGAGGACAAAAAAGAGGAGCCCCCCGTCTCCTCCAGTCCTTCAGCCCCGGCACTGAGGAGGTCCAGACGAGAAGCCGTGCTCAGACAAACACCCGAAACCACCAAAACATCCCCTGTGAAAAAAACCAGGAGTCAAAAAGAGTCGAAGGAGGACGTGGCTGCTGTTTTACCTGAGGACAGTCCTGTGAACATGTCCACCGCAAAGAGACGCAGGTCCAAACATGGCGTCTTCGTAGCACAGATGGTGAGTCCACCAAACGCCAAAGAAAGTCCAATCAGGTAAGCCTTGCTTTTATTCTCTATGCTGCAAAATTTATAATTTAATGTGCACATTTAAGGTTTTAAATACTTGTAGTAAATTTTTTTTCTTTTTGTCCATAAGAATAAAATTTAGCAGAGTTCATAAAAATTCCACCTCTAAGGCTGAAAGTGGAAGTAACAAAACGTCGACAAGTAAAGTGAGTACCATGTTTTTACAGTTTATAAATCTACTAAGATGTAGACTCAGTGTTGTGATGATGAAATACGTACGCTTTATCTTTATTAGACGTTAAATGAGTCCAACAAAAGGAAGCAGGCAAAGGAGCTGGTGGAAAAAGCCAAAAGGATTCAGCAAAGCAAGAAAATGTGTGTGGAGAAGGACGCAATAAGGAGATCATCACGAGTCAAGACCTCCATCCAGAGGAGCTACTGTGAAGATGAGGTACCGTTTTCATCCTGTGAGGCAGATGAATTTTAGTAATATTGTACAATATAATGCAGGAGCATTAACAGTGTGAATGTTTTTGAAGCATTCACACTATTGTGGCACTTTTTTTTTCTTCCCGTACCTTTTTCAGAGCATTTCTCATCCTGCAGTTTTGAAGCTATTTCAACAAATCATAAACCAAAACATTGGTGCAACTTTAGCTTTTTTAAATATTAAGCTTTTTCTGATTTTTTTTTCCTCATAGAAAATGAATTGAGCTCATGTTACATCCTTCATATCTTTAGATCTGTTTACAACCTTTTACTGCTCCTTTCACATTTTGTTCTGGTTCAGTTTCTTTAAGCGTCCTTGTGCAAATAAAATTAAAAAAAAAATCAGCTAATTTCAGCTCTTTTGTGTTCCTTTCAGATTCTTTCTGCTAACTCAACATTTTTGTGCTTCTTCTCTTCTTTCCTCTAATTTCAGCTTGTTCGGCTCCTTTCTACAAGTTTCAGCTTTTTCTACTATTTCAGCTAGTTAGCTGTTTTTACGCTAATTTCAGCTTTTTCAGCAAATTCCACATTTTTATACTCATTTCAACTTTTTAAAGCCTCATTCAGCAGAAATATGCTCTCTCCACTTCCTGCTAGTAATTTCAGCTTTTTTCTTTTTAGCTAGTTTTCAGCATTTTTTTTCTTCTTTTTTTTGTCTCTAATTTCAGCTTTTTTCAGATAATTATTACTTTTTGTGCTCATTTCTGCTTTTTTCAAACAAATTGGGCAAACATGTTCTTTCTGCTTTCTTGTGCCAATTTAAGATTCTTCTACCTTTCAGCTAAAATTTTAGCTGTTTTCAGATCAGTTCAATTTCTTTTTTTTTTTTGGGGGGGGGGGGGTAATTCCTGCTACTTTCAACATAATTGACTTATTTTTACTATTTTCGGCTTATTATGCTCCTTTCAGCTAGTTTCAGCTTTTTCTGCTATTTCAGCTAATTATTTCAGCTGTTTTTATTCAGATTTTAGCATTTTCAGCTAATTCCACTTTTTTTTAGAGCTTTCAGCTTTATCCACTTCCCTCTTGTAGGTTAAGCTTTCTTCTGCTTTTTCGGGTACTTTTTAGATGTTTTTTTTTTTTTTCTTCCTAATTTCAGCCTCTTTTTTTCAAACAGATTTCCTAATTTTTGTGCTCATTATTGCTTATTTAAACGTAATTCAGCAAATATCTGTTCCTTCTTTTGCTAATTTAGGCTTGTTCTTTCATTTCAGCTACATTTCAGCAAGTTTTTTTTTTAGCTAATATCATCGATTTTTCAGCAAGTTTTTCTGCAATAAGCATTCACACTGCATTTTCACAGGAAATACAATTTGTCTTATTAGCACTTATTATAAGTAAACATTTATTACCTAATCAATTCAATTCAGTTTATATAGTGTCGAGTCACAATAGAAGTCATCTCGGCGCACTGAACAGAAACAATCGTCTAAAAACTGAATAGACACCTTTTCATTATCACCTACAGCTCAATATGTTGATTTTAATGCAAACTTTGTGGAAAAAAATGAACATTTCTTCATGTTTGAAATTTCACAACAGGTTCATTTCAACATTTTGGAGATTCAGTAAAGGCCTCAAGTTATATTTGTCTGCACGTTGTGATGAATCGCATTAGTTTGTGAATGACTTTAGGGACAACGTATTATTTATTTTTCAGGATTCTTTGATCTGCGTTGAGGACCTGACCTCCACTCCTCAGGGTTCACCAGGAAAAAGTAAAACCCAGAAACCTTTACGCAGTCTGAACGACGTTCTGGGCAAAGTCAAAGACACCAAAACTGTCGCAGGTTGTCTCTCCTCTTCACGGTCTACTACTCATCTTTTTGGAGTAATCTCATCTAACGGGTTGTTTTTGCCACAGGCTCCAAAGTGGCCTCACTGAGCCAGGAGACGTGCTCTCGGAGGGCGTCTGCTGTGGTCTCTATCTTTGATGAGAGCAGCCACGAGGGGTCAGAAAACTCCCAGGATGACGAGCAGTTCAGGGCACGCAGGGAGTTCTTGAAGAGCGGTTTGCCCGAGTCCTTTAGAAAACAGATAGCAAAGGTCGCCGCCACCAAAGAGGCGTACTCCGTCTCCTCTTCCTCCTTCCAGACTGTCACGCACACAACACAGCCCCCAGATGGTAGGCTTCTCCTTCGTAGGAATTTATAGTTTTGTACTTATGAGGAGCTACATAGCTAGATCTGGGTTTATACAAAAGTTGCTTTTGTGTGCGTTTTAAAAGATTGTCGTCTTTGGAGTCTGCCGTGGCCCGAGTCTTCCCTGCTGAGTCATCTGAAGGAGACGTGGAGCCGAACTTTGAACCGACCTCCAGCTGTTGGTGGCTCCCTCTGTGTGAAGACAGTACCAGCCTATAGAGTGGTTTATGAAAAGGTATAAAAATATTACTCCAATGTGTCGTGCTTATCCATAATCAGTATTTTAAATCTGCTTTTTGATACTGATGATCTCTTTGAGTTCACTGAGCAGAAGTATAACGGGCTTTCTTTTCAGGGGTCGGGCTGGAGGCCTGAATTCTCTGAAAGTATTCGCCAGCTACTGGTGGAGGAGCTCAAAATCTCCAACTCTGACTTCCCCGCTCAGATCTTCTTCAGTCGTTTCCTAAGGCGACGTGCCGAGCATCAGAGGCAGTTCACAGCTTCAGGTCTGCATCGAAAACCTGCCGCAGGTTTTGAGAAATCTAAGATGTGGGCGTTAGCAACCTGTCCGAGTCCTGCGCGATTTTAAAGATTGTTAATCAGATTTAATATATCACGTTCAGCTTGTATTTAATTAACAACTTTTACAAAAGATTTAAGTTAACAGTACGTTATTTCGTCCTCACAGCTCACCTTTTGCAGTACGTTTTAGTTCACGAAGAACTTCAAATGATGCTGAGTCAAATTAATCTTAAACGTGTTGTTCTTACACACAGAGCCCGAAGCTGTGGCCAAAGATAAGACGTGTACGCCACAGTCTGCTAAATCTGTTGGGAGGAAGAGGAAGAGGACTGAAGATGAGAGGGAAAGTATGATGAAGATGGCTGAAAAGGAGAAATCGAACCATTCGGTGCAGAACATCGCCACAGCTGATCCACCTAGAAGAGGGAAACGAAGTCTGAGATCGAGGGAGAAAAAGGAGGAGGAGTTGAAGGAGAAACTCAGACCTGCTCCCGTCCCATCTGAAGATGATTGTGTTCTTATCGTGGATGACCAGATTTTGGAAGAGGATATTGGAAAGAAAGGTGTGGTTTAAATAATATGACCCGTCTTTAAAAAAAATTGTGTAATATACAGTAGTCCCTCGCTACTTCACGCTTCGTTTATCGCGGACTCACTCTATCACGGTTTTTCAAAATAAGAGTGGACACGACACACAATTGGTTGATTGATGGATGAGTCGCACGATCGGCATGGATTCTTTAATTTAAAATAAATTGTTTTAAATTATTTAGCACCTGCTGCCCGTTTGTGCAGCCCAGAGCTGCAGGATAAACTTCCTGCTGCAGTTGATCAGCTGTTTGTGCAGAGAAGTGGGCGTGGCCAAGAGCGCTTGCAGGTGGCAAAGAGCAGAGGAGGCAGGGAGCTGAAATCATGACATTCTGTGCTCTTTTAGAATTTAGAAACATTGTTTAGAATATTGCAAGAGTGTGGGAAGGGTTTAAAATGCCTTTATTTATATGTAATAAAATAAACTACGGTACTACTTGTACTACTATTCCAACTTTGCGGTTTTTCACTTATTGCGGGTCTTCAGGGTATGGATCCCCTGCGATAAATGAGGGACTACTGTACACCAAAGTTCATGCTCAGTATAAAATCCAACAATGTTCAGTCAGGTCAGCTGGACAGTTTCATTTTTTTTTTTTTTTGCCGAGACATTTCGTCCTTCATCCAAAGGACTTCTTTGATCTGAAGAAGTGTGATTAATGTGATTAGATCTGTGATTAATATAATTTCCGAACTCACTATACCGTTTATGATAAGAGCTCAATAGCATTTAAATTGCTGCACTTTTAAGATATTATTAAATATGATATATTTCCCCCCAAAAAAATTCGAGTCAGAGTTTCTTTATTCTCATTCGCACCTCATGTGGTACATGTGGTGGAGCGAAATTATGTACACAGGTTATTAACACAAAAAAATATGCTGCATGTTGGAAGTTGGCTGTGAAAAGTGTTTATAAAAGAATAATTTCATGAATTATGTAACGTTAAATTCCTAAATGCACAAAAGTGAGAGATGTTTTGTATTCTTCGCTGAAGCTGCTTTTGTTTGTATTTTTATTTTGACATGTCATATTAATTAGATGTGAAATTTATCACCTAAATGTGCAGCTTCTGATCAGATCAGCTCATCTTTTCCCAGCTTGTTTTCTGCTGCTGTCAAGTTGCATGAAAACAAACCGCATAATGAAATCACCGGGTTTATATCTTGAAACTTCTTTCCTTTAGATGTGGTGAAAGAGGATTTGTTGTGGACGGATAAATATCAGCCTCAGCTCTCCAGTGACATCGTGGACAACGTTGCTGCAGTGAAGAGGCTCCAAAGGTGAGGAAATCAACCTGCGGCTCGGTTGCACTGTATTGTGCTTGTTATTAGTGATATTTGTACTAAAGAGATCAAGTTTTGGTGCATATTGGGCTCTCCTTTTTGTCTTCAGCTGGCTGAAGGAGTGGAAACTTCGTACAGACAGAGAAGAGAGAAAAAATCAGAAAGACAAGAAACGAGAAGAAGACGGCAGTGGTGCGAAATATCTGTTTATGTCTTCCTCTCTTGGTTTGTTTTTACTGATCAGTGTTTTGTGTGTTCAGACTCAGACTGGGGAGATGAGGACTCTCAGGAAATGGAGGACATGTTGTGCAACACAGTTCTCATCACAGGACCCACTGGAGTGGGAAAAACTGCTGCGGTCTATGCTTGTGCTCAAGAGCTCGGCTTCAAGGTACAAATTCATCGCATTTTACCAGGAAGAACGTTACGTGTGCTTGGCAAATAACTGTATTCGTTTATTTTTGTCTCAAGGTGTTTGAGGTGAATGCATCGTCTCAGCGGAGCGGTCGTTTAATACTGTCCCAGCTGAAGGAAGCTACTCAGTCCCACCAGGTGGACAGTCAGGGGGTCAGCGCCTACAAACCCGCCTATTTCAGCAGCTACGGAGCAAACGGCAGCAGCAGCTCTGTTAAACCAGGAAATTGTTCAAGTTCGTACAAACTGCACACCAACACTTATTGTTTTAATAAGATCAGCTTGAGTCAGGTGATGCATGAGCAAAGAACTGAAGATTGTCTTCTGAATCTTTTAGGAAAGGTTAAGTCCCCTCGTACGGTGGTTTCCTCCCCCAGGAAAACCCCCCAGTCACCGAGGAGTGCTAAAAAAGGAGGCCTGGCTCCAACCTCTTTAGCTAAGTTTTTTAAAATGGCTCAACCCACCTACACAGAGCCACCGACAACTACAGGAAAAGAGGAGAAAGGTAGATGTGCACAGTCGTTCACTTCTTTAATAAGTGCACAGCTTTTGTTTTACTTTTTTAATGTTTTTTCTTACAGCTCCTTTGAAGAAAGCCATAAAAGGAAATGAGAATGGTGACAAAACCAACAATGTTACGATGAAATCTCCCGCTGCCGGCAGCACTAAAGAGAAGACGAGCAAGGAGCAGAACAAGGCGGCTACGTCACTTATCCTGTTTGAAGAAGTGGATGTTATTTTTGAAGATGACTCAGGGTTTCTCGCTGCCATCAAGACGTTCATGAGCACCACGAAGAGGCCCGTCATCCTCACTACCAGTGGTTAGTATAGTGGACAGTAAGCGGTAAAAGTCACGCAGTTTGGTCTGTACAGTAGTCTCTCGTTTATCGCGGGGGTTACGTTCCTGACCCGCGAAAACCGCGAAGTAGAAACGCTGTATTTATTTGAGTGTTTATATATATTTTAAGGCTTTAGAACCCCTTCCCACTATCTTGCAGTGTTCTAAAACGCTAAAACATACGTCAATTTAACAACATATGCATATGTACTCTGCAGTACTGCAAACTTTTACTCACAGGCACTGCAGAACAGCAGCTCGGCTCTGGTCCAGCTCAGTTCTGGTTCGGCAGACCCACCCTGCAGCGAAGAATGCGTACACTCTTAAACTTACATAATTTTGAGCACCAAGATACTTTTAAAGAGAGCCGGACCTTCGAATAGCCAGCAGAAAACCACACAATGGTCCTGATCGAGTCCAAATCCGAATGAAAAAAGTCCCGGTGAGCTCCGGAGAAAACGCCTCCCCTTATCGAGAGGCTTCCTGGGCTGGCAAGCAGCGCTCAGAATGACCGATGAGGCTGGAAGTCCAGTTCTGGTCCAATTCCTCGTTGGTTCTGTACAGCTCTGCATCCACTCATCGCCAAAGTCACTGAGTAAGGACCGAACTTTTTCGTATCGGATCAAAACTTTCCCTCCATCTCAGCAAAAAGCAACAACTGGAAGTGTTGTTGGGGCTTCTGGGAAATGTAGTCCTTTTGAGTGGAGATCCAGTGTAGGCTTATTGAGAGAAAACTGCAAATTGGCGGCGCCTGTCCTAAGTTTTATTTGTTGACTTTTTACTGTGTCCCGTACTGTCCCCATCAGGTGAGTAATATTAAAGTCGACAATCGTGTGTCGTTTTTGACTCGTTTACATTTTTTTTCCTTGTGTACAATCTTACTTTGAAAAACTGTGAAAGAGCAAGTCTGCAAAAAATCGAACTGCGAAGTAGCAAGGGATAGAGTTGCGTTGGGGCCAAAAAAAATAAACCGACCCGGCCCCAGGCCGCAGTCATAATTTCCAAACCCCATCCGACCCGGCGAATTAACAGTAATTCCAAGCCTGAACCTGAAACCCCCCGCAACATTTTTAATTAGTTATTAACGGTCAGGGACGCGTGGCTGAGTAACAGGTGCAGAAGATTCGTAGCTGAGGGGGTGTTTGTCCTTTCATGGCTGTCAAAGCGCATTAAATCCCTGTTTCTGCTGCATTCTGATTTATTCAGACACGGACCCTGCTCTGACACGTCTGCTTTGGGATCGCACCTGTTTGAGTCATCGGCCGCGCGCGTCCGCTGAGTGCAGCGGCTGCATGAACATCCATTTAGTTAGTGAATCACGTCCTGGCAGTACAGTCCCGTCTGAAGCTTAACTGAACTTTTTACTGCTTTCAAGGCCGGTCAGCTCGCGGTGAAATGTGTGCGGCTGGTAAATGTACGGCACGTCATGTTCTCATAATTGGATCGCGGCTGATCCTGACCCAATCAAAAGCTCGACACTGTCCCAGCCCGCCCATCCAGGACATTATCATGGCCCTGTCTGCCCCAAAATCGGGTCGGGTGGGGCCGAGCTCAGGGCTCGGGTTAGAAATGACAGCTCTAGCGAGGGACTACTGTATTTATATATTTATGCTCTGTCCCATTTCAGATCCTGCTTTCAGCAAGATGTTTGATGGAAGCTTTGAAGAGATTAATTTCAAAACTCCCTCGCATGTAAGTGGATAATTTATCATTGAAATAATCTGCAATTACCAGTAGTTGTTTTATGAAGCTTAATCTTAAAATAATAATAATAATAATGTCATCACAATGTCAGCACTGTATGTTTCCATACTATGGCGAAATTAGTCTCTGCATTTAACCCATCCACCACCAGGTGGTGCAGTGGGCAGCTATTGGGGGGGGGGGGGGGGGGGTGTTATAAAAATGATCCAAAGTTAATTTATAACATTTTAACGTTGTCTGTTCCTGCTGCAGTTGAATGTGGGCAGCTACCTGCAGCTGCTGTGTTTGGCTGAAGACGTCAGGACCAGCCCGGCGGACGTCGGCTCTCTGCTCAGGCTCAACGCTTGTGACATCAGGCAGAGTTTACTGCAGCTGCAGTTCTGGACTCGGAGTGCAGGAGGTTGTCGCTCATCAAGGCCGCTGGCGCACGCTGCCCAAAATGGTAAAATGATTCAAATAAACTTTTCAATGGGCTGTTTTCTCCTAAACAGCAAGTATATTATGTTTTGTAAACATATAATGAACATTTTTTGTCCACTCTTTGCTTCAAAAGTTGATTTGAAGTCAGAAACTGAAGAGGCAGCTGACGACTCATGTGTCTTACCTCCCTGTGACACCGGCTGCACCGAGAGCAAACTGGGCCTGCTCAACGTTGAACCCCATAAAAACATTTGGGAGCTGCTCAGGGTAAACGCTTCATTTAGCACCTAACAATCGTTTTAAATGATCCGTTCTCACATTTTGATTTATTTTGTTACACTGTCCAAGCAAACTTGCTTTTTCGGAAAAGTAATGCATCATAATTAAAACACACCTACGTTTCATTTTTCTTGAAACAATTTATTTTTATTCAAAAAGCGTTCAATACAAAAACAACTGGACTTTATTTGTAACAGAAGACGTTTCGCTCCTCATCCGAGGAGCTTTCTCAATTCAAAGAGCAGAGAGTGAGAGATACAGGTTATAAGGCTGAGTGAGATAAGACACACACACACTTGAAAACTTGAAAAGGAGAAAACAATCAATTGATCTTTGTATTATAGATTGTACCCAGGGGAAGCCACTCCCTGTCTTTATGGACTCCCAAGAATACACAAAGAAGGAACACCACTCAGACCCATCGTCAGCAGCATGAACTCAGTGACATACAATATTGTTAAACATCTGGCTGATATTTTAGCTCCTCTTGTTGGAAACACACCTCATCACATAAAGAACTCCATTGATTTTACTAACAAAGTTCAACACTTGAAACTAACCCCAGGAGAAACCCTTGTATCGTATGATGTGACTTCTCTTTTCACATGCATACCCATCTCTGAAGCAGTAGAAACCGTCAGAAAACAACTTCTACAAGACAAGGACTTAATCAACAGGACCAACTTCACCCCGGACCAGATCTGCACCCTGTTGGATCTCTGCCTCTCCACCACTTATTTCAAGTTCAATGACAGTTTTTACAGACAGAAGCACGGCTGTGCCATGGGATCTCCAGTGTCACCCATTGTTGCCAATCTCTACATGGAGGAAGTGGAATAGAGAGCCCTACACTCCTATGAGGGAACTAAGCCAAGCCATTGGTTCCGTTATGTGGATGACACCTGGGTCAAAATCCAATCCAAGGAAATGGAAGCGTTCACCAGACACATTAACTCGGTTGATAACAACATCAAGTTCACCAGAGAGGATGCAAACGACAACAAGCTGCCTTTTTTGGACTGTTTGGTTCAGATGGAGAGAGAGGACAGCCTCAACATTGAAGTTTACAGAAAACCAACCCACACAGACCAGTATCTTCTGTTTGACTCCCACCATCCACTGGAACACAAACTCTCTGTCATCAGAACTTTACAACATCGGGCCGAATGCGTCCCCACGAAGACAGAAGGGAAGGAAAAGGAACTGAAACACGTTCAAGAAGCTCTTCAAACATGTGGATATCCTAACTGGGCTTTTGTCAAGTCAGCGAGGAAATCTACAAAATACACCAATAAACAGAAAAAGGAGAACAACAGACGTAAAAACATTGTCATCCCTTATGTTGCTGGAGTATCAGAGAAATTCAGAAGGATCTTCAACAAACACAAGATCCCAGTACATTTCAAACCCAGCAGGACTCTCAGACAGAGGCTGGTCCACCCTAAGGACAAAACACCCATACACAAACAGAGTGGTGTAGTGTATGCGGTCCAGTGCAGCGAGGACTGTCCAGACCTCTACATTGGAGAAACTAAACAGCCTCTTCACAGACGCATGACTCAACACAGGAGAGCCAGCTCCACTGGACAAGACTCAGCTGTTCACCTCCATCTCACAGATAAGGGACACTCTTTTGAGGACCAAAATGTGCACATTTTGGACCGAGAACACAGATGGTTTGAGAGGGGGGTGAAGGAAGCAATTTATGTAAAAAGAGAAAAGCCGTCTCTTAACAGAGGAGGAGGCCTCAGATTCCCACTTTCAAAAACATATAATGCAACTTTAAAACAGATCCCCAGACGGTTTTCACACCTGATGGGAACAGAGGGGCCTCGACTGTGAATTAGAGGAACAAAGACCTACTGTTTTAGATTTTTAGGTGTGAACTGCCAATCTACATATGTGTGTGTGTGTCTTATGTGTGTGTGTGTCTTATCTCACTCAGCCTTATAACCTGTATCTCTCACTCTCTGCTCTTTGAATTGAGAAAGCTCCTCGGATGAGGAGCGAAACGTCTTCTGTTACAAATAAAGTCCAGTTGTTTTTGTATTGAACGCTTTTTGAATTCATCATGTCCTGGATGACTGAGAATCTTCACCAGCAAATTTATTTTTAGCAAATTGATAGTTTAAGCCTCATTATAAAATATAAGTTAAGGCCTAAAAGGACAGTTCAGAGTAGTTTTAAGAAGACAGAAATCCACTTTGGTCCTAATCCAACTCAGGTTAGCGGTTAGCTTGTCAGTCTGGTCATATTTAAACTGTTTATCCAAAGTGAAATTGTTCAGTGATCTGTAACGAGCAGCTTCAAAATCTTTCCATGAAATCTTTCTTCAAAAGAGCTGAAATGTCACTTTAGGATGCAGTGATGCTTTTGGCAGTTAGTTGTATCAAATGATGTGAAATATTTACACCTGATCTCAGAAAACATGATCACTGCACACACTTTGTTTCAACAAATGGTCTCTGGTTGAAAAACCGGCACAAGTTTTCAACATAAAAGCACAAGAATGACCTCTTTAAATGTCAGTAAGGAGGAACGTGTTTACCAAAACAAAATAAAAATTTGTATTTGTAATACAGATTGAAACAGAATATTCCATCCATCCATTATCTTTAACTTGTTCCAGAGTCGGGTCGCGGGGGCACCAGCTTGAGCAGGAAGGTCCAGACATCTCTTTCCACAGCCACCTCTTCCAGATCTTCTGGGAGGACACCAAGGCGTTCCCAGGCCAACCGAGAGACGTAGTCTCTCCAGCTTGTCCTGGGTCTTCCCTGGGGTCTCCTCCCAGACAGACGTGCCTGAAGCAGCTCCCTAGGGAGGCTCCCAGAGAGCATCCTTACCAGATGCCCCAACCACCTCAACTGGCTCCTCTCGATGTGGAGGAGCAGCGGTTCTACTCTGAGTCTCTACCGGATAACTGAACTTCTCACCCCATCTCTGAGGGAGAGTCCAGCTACCCTGCGGAAGAAACGCATTTCAATCGCCTGTATCCGCAATTTCGTTCTTTCGGTCACTACCCAGATTTCGTGGCTGTAGGTGAGGGTAGGAACGTAGACCGACCGGTAAACAGAGAGCTCTTTACCACAACAGACCGGAACAGTGTCCACAATATTGCAGACGCCACAACAATCTGTCACTCTCCCGCTCCATTCTTTCCTCGTGAACAAAACCCTGACATACTTGAACTCCTCCACTTGAGGCAGAACCTCGACCCGAAGAGAGCAATCCACCTTTTTCCGACTGAGGACCATGACCTCAGATTTGGAGGTGCTGATTCTCATCCCAGCTGCTTCACACTCTGCTGCGAACTTCTCCGGTGAGAGCTGATCTTTCAGACGTGTTCTGCCAGGCATGCCAAGCAAACCCTCACTGCACGTTTGGATCTACCGGGTCTGGCGGGATGGCATCTTCCCCTGCCGTCTGATCCAACTCGCTGCCAAGTGGTGATCAGTTGACAGCTCAGCCCCTCTTGAAAAATCAGATGACACGACTACAAAGTCAATCACTGATCTACGACTTGGGGTGTCCTGGTGCCAAGTGCACTTATGGACGCACTTCTGTTCAAACATGGTGTTCATGACGGACAAACCACGAGTGGCACAGAAGTCCAACAACGGAACACCACTCGGGTTCAGATCAGTGGCGGTTTCTCCCACCCCTCCAGGTTACACTGTACCCACGTGGGCACTGAAGTTCCACAGCCGAACAAAGGAGTCCCAGCTGGAGCACCCCTGCTAAGGACTTCAAGAAGGCCGGATACTCTGAACTGCCGTTTGGCACATAGGCACAAACAACTGTCTGATCCCATCCTCACACCTGACGGTGCAGGGAAGGTACCCTCTCATCTACTGGGGAAAACAACACACAGGCACCAAGACGGGGGGCTGAGAGTAGATCCACACCAGCTGGGCTCTTCTCACCATGGGCAACTCCAGAGTGGAATAAGGTCCAGCCCCTCTCAAGGAGAGTGGTTCTGGAGTCCATGCTGTGCATCGAGGTGAGCCCAACTGTATGTAGTCGGTACCTCTCAACCTCATGCACAAGCTCAGAGCTTAAACCAGTAAACTGAAGGGGTGGGGAAGAAAAACCTGGAACGTCCTGACTTTAGCACTTGTGCAGATTTTTTGATGATCTGTCTGAGTGTGCCTGCTGTGTGAGTTTTATTTAGAAACAAGTTTTGCCTCGTTGATGTGAACCTGCGCAGTTATGTAATTTAAATTCCTTTCAGGTGATTTGGCATCATAAAAAAACAAAACAGCCTGACATGTCACCAAACAGGGCGTCACAGCCTCCGTCATCTTGCTGAACTCGAATAATCACATGAGGGTAGTTTTACAGTAAAAGGGTCAGAGGGAACATTTTCATTTGATGAGGTCAACATTTGTCACAATGCACATGGTGTGCAGTGAAATTTAACGATGTATCCTAGAATAATTTACAAAAGCCTTCGTGTGGCTTCATTTTTTTATAATATAGTAAATATTTGTCTCAGTTATGTCAAACCACTGTACCTTGATGGTTTCATCACTGTTTTTATAGTATTTCAAGTATATATTTATATACTGTTTTGTTTTAACAGAGCCAGAGTTTGATGGAGGAGGCGGTTTGTTGGGAACTTCTGACAGACAGCCGGCGACGAGGAGTTGATCTTCTCTATTCCAACATGGAGACCCTCCTACCTCTACCTCTCACACAGCTGGCTACCTCCAGACTCTCTAAACCAGTGCCCCAAACGTCCTTTTCACAAGACAATCAATCTGTTGTCCCAACACAGCAGCCGATTGACAGCTCAGACGATAGTAGTCCAGTCAAAGTGTCCAACCGAATGAAGAGGAATAAAAAACGGCGCCATCTTTCTGATCGGGACGAGCTGCACTCCGAGTCAGACTCTGAAGACGGATTTCCATCTCTCTGCAAACCGCGGAACGATCCTCAGAAAGAGGAAGTTGAAGCCAGCGGTGATTCTGAAACTGTAAAAAGGAAGGTGCTCACTGTAGAGGACAGAAGAAAGAGTCTTCCAGTTTCTCAATGTCTTGAATCGTTAGCAGACTTCTGGGACAACATGTCCTATGTGGATTCATCACTGCCTTTTCACCAGACCGCTCACGCAGGAACGCCGCCGGCTAGCGCCGTCATTAAAGACGGGATGTCTGATGAGTCAAGGGTAGAGACGTGCAGAGGGAGCCGGTTGACAGGAGGCCGTGTTTTGGAGATCCAGGCAGCTGTGGAGGCTCTGAGCTTCCAGAAGTGTCGGACGTCAGTGATCGAAGCCTGGGATAAAGTGCAACTACTAACGGGGGAGCTGGGAAAAGAGGCTGCGGCAGAGCTAACGCTTCCTGTAGCTGCACATCGGGAAGGTTGCAGCTTCACTCAAGACGCCCTCTGCCATCCACAGTGAGTCTGAACCAGAATCTCCAAACCCCTGAAAAAAAAAAAAAAAGATGTTCTGTCACTGAAAATTAAAGTATTTTCTGTTCCAGACTCGTCCAGCGGAGGAAAGAAGCAATGGAGAATCAGACGTTCCAAATGTTCGACACTCTTGGCAACAGAGAAGCGTTTGCTCTGGATTATCTGCCCACCATGCGGACCATCTGCAGGTCCGAGCAGCTGAAGGAACAAGGAAAAGTCAAGCGAAGGTGAGCGTGCAGCAAACCACAGCTGGTCAGCAGCAGCTGCAGCCAGCGTGAACCGTGGACAGGAAGTGGTGGAGATGACGTGTAGCGTTGTTTTGACACTAAGCGCACACGCGTCAGCCGCAAATAAATTTGTTGATGTGTAAGAGAATATTTAAGTCTTATGTCCTTCCTCCTTCAGGTTCCTGCACTATCTAGATGTGATCCACTTGGGTCTTGAGAAGAGCACCCTGCAGCTGCTTGCTGAAGACTTCCCCTGATCCACCGAGGCGTTTTCGTACAACACACAGATGTCATGAATACCTCAAACGTCTTTAAACGTTGGCTCTCGTGAGGAACATGAAGCGTGTTTACATCTTGTTTTGCAGAAAGTCCATGTTGCCTGTATTCTTGACTGAACGTCAACTTGTTGCTCAGAATGTGTACAAAATATCTATGCACTTATTTTACCAACAAAGTCTAAATACAGAAAGCAGTGGTTCCCAACCCTGGTCCTTGAGGAACACCATCCTGCATGTTTTAGTTGTTTCTCTGCTCCAACACACTTGATTCAGTGATTTAATCACTTCATGTTCTGCAGAAGCCTGTAAGTCACCCATTTATTAAAATCAGGTGTGTCAGTGCAGAGAAACGACTAAAACATGCAGGATGGTGTTCCTCAAGGACCAGGGTTTGGAACCCCTGATTTAAGGTGCACAACTAAATAACATCACATATCTTGAGATGTTTTGGTGCTTTGAGAGGTTTGTATAAATTTTATCATTAAATGTCTGGTGTTATTTTTGTACAGAATTGTTTTGTAGTCTTATTTTTCAGTGCTTTGCACTTTTTTAAACAAACAGAAAATGATTTTTGATTGGAAGTGCGAGTCTTACATCTGTAAGAGATCAACATGTAAAATATATATATTTTTTTGTCTGTTTCTGTATAAATTATCACTTAGGATTGTGATTTTTATAGTTCATAGGTGAGACTGCCTGGATGACACATTTATCAGTACTTATTATTTTAACATTTGCAACATGTAAACTATATACAGTTGGTCTTTGTTTAAAACAAATAAAGGAGTAACCCAACTAAGGTAACTGGTTTCATTTTCAATATCTAAAGGTCTAGCATTCCTGGAAAGAAAGTAATGGCTCACAGTCTTATGTCTGAAGATTAAACTTAGATTTTTTTACAACGAGAAATGAGTTGCTGTTTTGTTCAAGCATTAAAACTGTTCATATGAGTGACCTCCTGTGATTTTGGGAGGTTTGCAAGATGTGATGGCTATGGAGTTTGATGTGAATGATTCTCTGCTACTACCACATCAGGTTTTAGCTCAATATCCCTAAAAATCACTGACCTGAAGCTATATCTGTGTTTGCTAATGTCGATGAGCTATTGTGGCCATCTTGAAATCAGTTGACTCCCAAACTTTTTTCACTTTTAGATGTACACAAAAAGATTACTTTCTGAGAATGTAATTAAAATTCGTCCTGTCGTTCATGAGAAATTTTGCTAATAGAGACTGATTTGACAAATGGTAGACGGCAAAGTTTTAAATACAGATTATGTGTGATCTGCTCAGAGTACATGTTATGGACGACTGCTACTAAAACCAAATTAGCTTAATACTGTAGTAAAATTGTCCTTGTAGCTATATTTGCAGTGGGTAAGGCTGATCAGCTTTTGAGGCCATCTTGAATTGAATTGACTCCAAAAGTTACAGAGTTGTATCTTCACTTAATGCATATGTGTCAAACTCAAGGCTCGAGGGCCAAATGTGGCCCTCATTGACATCATATCTGGCCCTCAAGATGATACGTGAAATGTAAAATACTTCTATCACTTGAATTTTTTTTCAGTAATCTTTGATTATGATGTCAGAAGCACAACAGCAAACATCAAATGAGACCAATCAAACTCTTGTAGAGGAACCTGTGACCAAGAAAAGACACTGGGTATCTAATTTGAGTTAATGTAGATTATGAAATTGGCCCTTAGTTTGAAACAGGGTTTAATTTTGGCGCCCTTTTGTAAATGAGTTTGACACCCCTGACCTAATGATTAACTTTTGACAGTTTCATTAAAATCCATCAAGTGGTTTATGAAATATTTTGCTAACACGTGAACAGAAACAAGTTTAGGATGATCAGCAGGAAATTAGTGGATGCTCCGCCCACTGGTTTCCGATGATTGACAGGTGCATAAACGGATCGTGACGAAGAGGCTCCTCCCCCTTTTTTTTCCCCCACATCAAAACTAATGAATCGATTTTTCTGTTTGATCCTCCGCGGAGAAGAAGGTCCGGTCTCTATCTCCGGGCAGGAACACCCAAACAGGTTTCACATGGACTTTTCTTCAACCTCGCTTCGACATGTTTTAAACTAAAAGTGACCAACATGCTCAGTTTGGACCCGTGGACCCAGAAGAACCGGACTCTGTAGCGAAATGTCCAACAGCGAGAAAAACCAAAGGATCTTACTGGAGCTGGTGAAGCTGCCGGAGAACAGCCGCTGCGCTGACTGCGGAGCGCCGGGTAAGAGAGGAGAAGCGCCTTCATCCTCCGTTTTAATCATTTTGTCTACGGTCATAGTGCCTGTAAACAAGACAACTAAGTTATTCGGGTTTTCCCGGGCGATAGAGCAATTTTAATCATTTGAAAAGCTGAACAGACAAACTTAAATATGTGGAAATGTTCAACCAAAAAACGCCGGTTTCCAAAGTGTGGGTCGGGGACCGCACTGTGGGCCTTGAAACACCAAAACAGGGTCCCTCTAGAAACTAAATTAGAAATTTAAATGAACAGCTTAACTGTTGTTGTAATTGTTACAAAATACCAAAACAGCAGTCATAAATATATTTTAAAAAATAGTGTTGTTGTTGTTGTTGTTGTTGTTGTTGTTGTTGTTGTTGTTGTTGTTGTTGTGCTGCTTACTTAAGCCAGCTACAGTTAAGTTCACAAGTAGAGCTGCATCATTCTGGGAATTTTCAAATGTAATTAGAAGTACCACACCTTTTAAAATGACAAGCTGTGTCACCAATGGCAAGGACAGAGTGGTAATTTTTTTATTTATTAATGTAGCTTAATTAAATTTGTTTTCATGTTTATTTTTGTTCAGAGAGGTGTTTATGAATTTAGAAAAATAATTCAACAACATAAAAGAAATTCTGAAAAATCCATTGTTTTCTAAATCAAGGTGAATTTGTGATGTGATCAAAATTAGGATATTAAATCCAACAATTTTCAGTCAGGACAGATGACCTGACTGAAAATTGTTGGATTGTATACATGGATTATTGATTTGTTGATATTAAATCTGTTTCTTTCAGAACATTTGGATCAAACTCCTCATTAGTTGATGCTTTTAGCTACTCGTGACAAAACAAAATGTTTATATTTTTGTTTGAATATGATACAGATTGTTTGAATTACCCCCAAGTTTCCAGTTTATTCCCTTAATCTCCCATAATTCTCATTGAAAGTTACCAATTCAGGAAATTTCCAAAATTCCTAATCTTCTTATAGAAAATTTATAGAAAACGTCCTGAAATGTGCCAAAATATGGTTTGTGCATCTCCTGTCATTTTTAAAACACCAAGTTTGGGTCTCAGGACGATCTCCAGAAATCAAAATAAGATTTGAATTCCATTATAAATAGCATATTTCTTTCCATAATTTTCACGAGATAAAAACAGACACGTCATAAATAGATAAAAAAATATTATTATAATTGTTATCAAGGCTTTTTGTTGATCGAGTTAGTTGAGATCACGACTCTCTGTAACTTTTGTTTTATATGTTAAAAGCTGAAAAGTTTATAATTTTGATGTGGTTTTCATGATGAAAAGAACAACTGCTCTAGACTAATGGTCATCAGAGATACCACCATTGTGACATACATTAAAAATCAGTACAACCCTGTGTATATCTGACAAACAAGCAAACTGACAAATCTAATGGAAAGCTCAACTAACCGAGAAACCAAACACTTTTTTTAATCTGACCCCAACCTTCAATCAGTGTTTAAAGTGAGAAAATCAAGTTGAAAAGTGTTGATTTCCAAAGCCTGCTTTGTGGGTCACTGCGGCTGCATGTTGGCTACTCTCACTCCCAATTTTAGCTGCAGAATACTTTTTGAATTTTAGCCAATTTTGTGTTTGCTAATGCTGCTTTGCTGTGGTGGCCATCTTGATTCAGGTTCATTCCAAAGGATCAGTTGTAGAAGCTTTTTTGAAAGTTTCATTCAACATAATTTTGAATAAAGTACATGCCGTTTCCTGCATTCTGGTGTATTTTACAAATATTTTTCGCTTCAAATACTCTGATTGCACGACGAACGGCCTCATGAGCTGAGATCATCGTCTTTGTTTTATCAGCTCGGTGAAAGTTCAGAGATCTCCTGCAGTGACTCACACATCAGATTGTTCACAAACGCGCAGGAACTTATGCTTAGTGCAAAACGTTTAATTATATTTTTGTGTTTTATAATAAAATTACCCATGACTTTGAACTTTTAGGAGTAGAGTTTTTTTTTTGTTGCGCAGAAGCAAAAATGTGAAGCAACAGCTCTGATGTGATATCAGGAAGCTTGTTAAAATTATAGTTTTATTTACTTATAGTTTTATAGTCAATCTTTGTCAGGCGGGTTGAAAAATATGCAGCATAATCCTTCAAAATGCACAGGTACGGCTGCGCACCTCCACCTGTCTGCTCCACACCACGTAGCTGAATTGCTTTGCTCTTCACCAGCAACGTAGAACGGATCTGTGCATGCGCCTAGCACAAACCCAAACTAACCACTTGTGTATGTTGACCTGCGTCAAGAGTGAGTCATAGACTGATGTGGTAGAGAGAATCTGGTGATTTTTCAAAATAAAACTCTCCCCCTGGGCAGTCCAGTTTCCATGGGTCCGCGGCCCGGGGGTTGAGGACCACTGCTCTAAAATATTCAAGAAACGAGTAAAACACAAAACAGTCCGAGTATAAATTCCTGTCCTTTTTCTTGCTGCTCGTCCCAGATCCAGATTGGGCGTCCTACAAGCTTGGAGTGTTTGTGTGCCTGAACTGCTCTGGGATCCACCGCAGCCTCTCCAGCCGGGTCAAATCCATCCGGTTAGACTTCTGGGAGGATGACCTCGTGGAGGTATGAGCCACCTCTGTTACCATGACAACACAGGAGCTCTCCGTGAAAGAGGGCTTAACCTCAATCTGTTGTCTTTTTTTTTTTTTTTTTTTTTGGTGTCCTGGTAAGTTTATGAAATCTACTGGCAATGCCAAAGTCCGATCTGTGTACGAGAAAGACGTGCCCCCGTTCTACTATCGACCCCAGGAGTCCGACTGCAGGTGAGTCGTTCTACAGCATGTCCTGGGACCTTTTTGCATGACCCCATGGGGAAATATTTACCAGCAGTTAAAACAGACTGTTGACGACGATGCATAGAGGAAAAAAAAAGAAAAAAATGGAGAGAAGTGCAGCTCCAGAATGTAGAAGTGAAAAATGAGCGTCGGGTGCCAGATCAAAGCTTAATGACTCATGTTTTGGCTTGTTAATATTTTTTTGGTAACACCGCAACTCTAGTTGTTGCAGAAGTATGTAAAGGCTTTTTTTCTTGTTTGAACTGCAGCGCCCTGAGAGAGCAGTGGATTCGAGCGAAATATCAGAGGATGGAATTCACAGGAGGAGCCAAGTATCCGCCTCTGGCCTACACGACAGGTGAAATCTTCACTGCTTGCAGACATACAGAACACGAGGAGACGGCTGGTAGCCTGCAGGTGCTGGAGGTATTTTAGCAATGCGGTGCAAAAAGAACAGATTCTTCGTACGACTAGAGAGTTTGATGAGATTTAACAAAACAAAAAAAAAACCCGTTTGGAGCTTGTTTCTCAGAGCTGAGCAGTTAGTGAGTTTCGAAGCCTCTGCAAGTCTTTCTGTGTGTTTCATGTCTGGATCTCAGGTATGTTTGAAGGAATGCTGCTGAAGAAAGGACGTGATAACAAGACGTATCTGAAGAGGAAGTTTGTGCTGTCGGAGAGAGAATTCACTTTGACGTATTACAACAAGGAAGATGTGAGTTTCCAGTAAAGTGAATTCCTTAAGAAGCAGCAAGTTGCTGAAGTCATGAGTCGTCGCTAGCTTTGTTGTATTTGTGTTTAAGAGTCACACATTTTTATCATCTTTTACAGACTTTTAGATGGTTTATTTTAGCTTTATGAAATATTTTCAGTTTTTTTTTTTTTTTTAGATTTTGGTTGATTTTCCTCTTATTTTGTGTTCAGTACCTGAACATTTTCAGAGAAAGGTGTTTTGTTGTGGTGGTGAGTCCGTTAGGTCGTTTAACTCTGACTTGTGTCAATGACAACTTTATCTATACAGCACATTTAAAGCACAGCTGAGCGAGACAATCAAGTCGGATTGAAATACAAAATATAAAGTTAGCTCAAAAAGTCAGTAAACTTGTGTTTGTTTTTTGTTTTTTAGTTGTAACATGCTGGTGAAGATTCTCAGTCATCCAGGTCACAGTCAGTCCAAAAAACACTAAAACAACAAAACAACTGGACTTCTATTTTGAAGCTGTAGATGTTTCGCTTTCCTCCCAGGAGGCTTTATCTATTCAAAATAAGTTCAAAATTAAATTTTATTTGGATTTTTTGTTGTATCATATCTTGACAGTTAACGTCATACCATTAGAAAGCTTTTATTTCCCATTGCTGGTGCTACATTTAACCCCTGGGCAAGTTTTTAACGAGTGCAACCCACTTAGCGTCTCTGCTCAACACACAAATATATATATATATTTTTTTAAGAAGTGTGGCACCATTTAAAAAGCAAATAATTTAGCTTTTCAGCTATCTAATATTTATACAATACAACTTTATTTATAAAGCACGTTAAAAACAACACCCTCTCTACTTCATAGTTCAACTTTCGTGGACTCACTCTTTCGCAGTTTTTCAAACTAAGATTGGACATGACACACAACTGACTGATTGATGGATGAGCTGCACATATATA